CCCAAAAAACCACTCAGGGTTCCATTCTTTCGACCAAGCATACTGGCCGCTGATATGGGTGACGGTACATATTGCTTAATGAACGAGCTTGTGAAAATTGTTACCGGAAGTGCCCTCTCTACAGCCTGTTAGAGCATCCGGCAATGCTGTAAACAGACAGCTTCTTACATCAAAGTAGCATTTGAACAGGGTACAGATTTATTCCAGGAAAGCGCGTTAAGCTTTGCAGCCGAGTGGAACTTTCGTGTCATATTTTTCACCAGTAAGAGCAATCACGGGGAAGTAATTTGTTGCTGCTGAGTTCTCCTGCATGCTACATTTGATGTCTCCTCAAACTCACCATGTTTACTAAACTCATCCCATTCCCCCATCTTCCGAAGCTTCAAACTTCGGCAATACACGGTTTGGATGACCTGGTTGGATGTTATCCACTCCACCTGGCCTATGATCTACAACCACAGAATCCCCAGACGGACCGAAAAACCATACGATCACATATCTGCTTCGTTCCACCTTGTTTCCTCGGTCAGCCTGAAATGAATCTCGCCGCTCAAGGAACCGCACATCCCAACCCAGTCGCCTTAAATATGACGTCAGCTACGGGAATATCCAAAAAGTGAAGCATGCCAGGCCAACGATTGCACGGCACAGCCATATCCGGTTCGATAGCATACCCGCGACTATTCCATTCCTTCTCTCGACCATGCCATCTCGAGCACACGTTCCAATAACTGCAAATACGACAAACTTCTTACCTGACCCCAGCTGCCTCCAAGATATATTCATTCCAACCTTTTGAACTTTTGTTCGAGGTTAGCCATTACTATGTGCGTGCTTCCCACAAAATTTAGTAACTTTCTATACAGTTTGTGCTCCGGCCCGGGTGTTGCCATCATCTTACTCTAACAAAGAGCTATTATGCCTGACTCCACGATAGCGACACCAATGAGTCTCTGCAATTTCACTGTACGCCATGTTTCTGTGATTCCTGTTAACGCTAATCTGCTCTGCTGATCCGGCCACGAGGGCCAAACGATGGTTTCAGGTCTCAATACAACATGACCGGCTGGATGACGTCAGCTCCACTGCTTCACCTGATCTAATATCCTAGTTCCTCATTTTTCACCGTTGCACTTTTCTTGTCATGTGTCAGGCAGGAAGCCTCTTGTTTTGTCCTCTCTAGCTTTGGTTTTTTTCGTCCGCCACTTTCAAATCCCAACGATCCTATCATGCTCGATATTTTCTCCAATAATGCATGGTAACTGTGCTTCCCCGCCGTGCCAGTTTCGTGTTGATCATGCCTACATCGGATAACGCCCAATTCCTATGATGCTGTCCCAGTTACTAACACATTGTGCCCACAATCCCGACCAGTCATACTTGACGATATGCCACCCACAATTTGGGAATAAGCATTTATATATATATATATAATCGTGCGTTCCAAGTTAAGGGATGCCGCTGAACCAAAAGAACGAATCGACTTTTGGTTATTTTTGATAAACAATTGAAAACCTGCCTTAGAGTTTGCATTAAGTTTAATCAACAAAATCATACTAATGACTCCTCACTAGAGCGGCCAAACGACCTGGTTCCTACTAGATAATAATCACGCAAATATTTTAGAGTAAACCGCTCTCATTTGTTTTCATCCAATTGACCGCGGGTTATGCATCACAAGCAAGAAGGCCACCCATGCGCAGTGTTGTTTCAACCCAGAGGCATTACCAAAAACTATCTAGAAAAAAACGGACTTCTGAAGAGGCTTGTGTGCTACGTTGATAGCCTTGGAAATATGTTCACAGTGGTTTGCAGACTACACAACTTGAAGTACTATCCACTAAGAGTGGCTTATTAAGAACGATCCGTCAGAGAAGCTAAAGTGGCTGATTCTGGACTCACAGTCGTTCACGTCAAGAACCACTAATTAGCTGGCGGATCATTGGGTTGGGAAGATTACGTTGTGGGCGGCTGGAAATCCACAACTTTTCTCGGGTGTCCAATCATGCGATTGTGTTTGCTGTGTCAATACTGCTCGTGTGATGGTCCGTATCGGTGGACATCTGTGTTAGCACAGTTGTCTTCAAACTAGGCGGCAGCAAGCACTCAAAGACAATGCTCGAAAATTCCCCCGTAAACTATCAACCAACATCACAAAATACGGATCATCAACCCGAGGTTATAAGAATATCAGTGAGCCTTGAGTGTTTCGTGGAAGTGATATGTAGGTGATTCTACCTGGTGGAGACTGGTGTAGATTTGGCGCCTCTCTCACTACCGGGCCGCCGGCTCTACGAACATCCTGGGAATTCGGTTCTGCGCAGCCCACACGAACCCGGCCAGGTCTATCCAGTTTTTGTTTGTCGGGCTTGAAGTATTCTCCGCCATTCTCAGAAGCCTGAGAACGGAAGGCTTCAATCGCAATTTTCCATAAAATTCTGGCTCTTATCTTTGAATTATGTATTGACATGTTCCTCTGTTGAGTTCCAAAGAAGTGAAAGCCGCAGGAAAATTTCCAAGGTACCTAGCAGACTGGGCTACACCCTTATCATATGCATATCTTATGATGGTAAAGGGCCGCCAAGCAGCCAGTGGATTAGCCCATCTTTCATAAGTGGTGCCTCATATCAGAGCCTCACCTAGGTACACCCTCAATGGTCATGACAAGACGTGACAGTGCCTCAATCAGGGAACATCGCTCAGCCATATGCAATTTTTCTGGAAAATGTGCGCTGTGTTCCGAAGTACTTCAAACAACTGAACTCAGAATTTGGTGACAGAAGTGCCCGGTCGCTTAAATATTATATCTTCCAAGAAGTTACTTGCACATAACCAAGCAGGAGCGGTGTATTCCATTTGGTCTTGGAAAATCACCGAATCGGTGGATCGACCTTTAAACAATGACAACTGGAACGGGCCCAAAATTGTTTGTGTAAACAAACGAATGAAATACACACGTCTTGAGCACATCGGCCTCGCTACATTCGCAGCGTTTTGCATATTGTTTTATTGATAACTAGTTGGTTATATTCAGTTTTTGGGTTCCAGGTGATAATGAAATTTCATTTACCAGAGCGAACAACTATCTAGAGATCACCGAAACCCATAGCCCGCAAAAGCAATTTACAGCTAAATCCTGTATGTGTAAAACACAATGATTACAGAAGAATTAAGTTTGCCTAATACATAGGGATAATTTCCTCAAACCACAACTACGTCAAAGACCTTCTAATTGTTCTCGCATGTCCGTGTCTACTTGCGTCAAAGACCTAATTGTTCTCGCATGTCCGTGTCTACTTTCTGTGGACGTCTAGAAATCCTGGAGTTCCAGTACCAATGCTGTTCATATGGATGCATACGGTGACAAGTGGTGGTCGCTGGGATAGCACCTTCCTCTGGATCGCGAAAATTGCATCAATATGTCATTTGGAGGAGACTCAGTGAATGCTTTTGTCATGCACGTTCAGGAAATGCCAGAGGACATCACGGGGATAGAAGCCAAAGAGGATTCGGGTACATGGCTCTCTTCAAAAATGTATTTCTCACCGCACCATGAGAAACCAGCCAAAAAGCGTTCAACAATTTACGAATGATTCAGCACATTTTCTCTTGTATTACTCGCATGGACTTCTAAACACTACATGGGGCCTACGTCAGACCGCTCCTTGAATGTCCCAATCAAGTTGTCTGTTCGGGACACACGAAGGAGGTAACTCTCATTGAGCGTATCCAGCGAGCTACTACAAAAATGCCGCCGACCTCAAATCCGCGGATTACGCATCGCGTCTCGCGGTGCTCGACCCCTTTCCCCTGGAGAATCGACGCCTCCCGGAGGACCTAATTCCTACTTATGCCCTGTTGAGCAAGGCATGGACAGCAGGTCTTCCACAGTTGGCACAGCAAACACACCGCAGGGACATGGTAGGAAGATTTTCAAGCTCAGTGCGCACACATTCACTAGGCAAAAACTTTTCCATTTTGGATAGTCGCTGCGTGAAATCATTCACCTCCGACGGTTGTCCACGTTCCTTCCATAACGCAATTCAAAGCACCATTAGACACTTGTTTATGACAGTCCTGGCCCTGGCAAGCATAGTGCCCCCACTTGGAACTTGAAGAGCAGCGCTACGCTATTTTTTCACTTGTGCCTTTCAGGTGAACCACAGCCGCTGAACGTAATAGCAAAATCGACCTCCGAGGGGACCTAATTCTTACTTACGCCCTGTTTGAACAAAGCTTGGCAAACGGGTTTTTCACCGTTGACCCAGCAAACACCCGGCGGGGACATAGTAAGAAAATCTTCAAGCTCAGGGCGCACACATTCATTAGACAAAACGTTTTTCATTTCGGGTAGTAGCTGCGTGGAATGACCTTCCTCCGACGGTAGTACACGCTCCTTCTCGAACCCAATTTAAAGCACTATTAGACATTTATTTATGCGAATCCTCGCGCTGGCGAGCATACTGCCCCGCGCTGAGAACATAAAGAGCAGTGCTACACCCTTTTTTCACTTGTGCCTTTCAGGTGAACGACAGCCACTGACCGATAAGAGCAGAACCGACTCGGAAAACTTGGGTAAAAGCCTCGATCCTGTGTATCAATCCGTGAATCCGTGAATCCGTGACCCGGGAAACTTGGGCAAAAGCCTTGATCCTGTTTATCAATCAGGGGATTCGTTATTCCTGTTGCCGCACTGAAGGAATCAGCCAGCTAAATTAAAATGCAGGTGTGATCCAGATTTCCCTTCCATAGCGAAATAAAGCGACACTACATTGGACTGAACTTGCTTGCTTTCGGCAGGGCTCTGGCCCGGGTGCGAATACAGTGAATTAATTGGCTGATTAGAATCGAGCAGTGATTGGTCGAGATCAGACCAAACAACCAATCGTATTTTAGAATACTCCCTGTGCCAGCTGCTCCGTATCGCGAGCAGATGGCGCTCTGGCTCTCAGTGCTTTCTCCCACAAAATCCCTTCTTTGCGCATTTAATGCATTCAGCACGCCATTTATGGTTTAGTTTGCTGAAAACGTCGGTTTGTAGTGACTAGCTGTAATCCGTGAAAGGAAATGCATAGGTAAGTAATGCAAATAAATAAGTCGAAGGATACAACCGAGAAAACGTGAATGGTCTCACCAACAATGTACGACTTTCACCCATTGTGATAGGCTTACGTCTCACTGAGTCTGCAGTATTCCACAATCCCTCGCGTTTTGGAAATGGTTTTCGCAGCAGGTTATGGGTTCTCTGGAACTGCAGGAAAACTTTGATTACCGCGTTAGAGAGACTAGCATGTTTGCCCCTCTGTCATCGTAGACTGAGATCTCTTAGAAGTCCACAAGCTTGACTACAGTTTATCAGGGGTGCCAACGGGCAGCCGAAGTATCCCGGAGCTCTTCAAAACAAAAGATGTATGCTTGAGCGTCCTGAAGGTTTTTTGACGCACCCAGTAATGAGCCCATGCAGCATCCCAGTAAGGTTCTTGAGGCTTCATCTCTCGACGTTCTCAGAGTGGGAGCGGACAGGTACGGGGTGGGGTGCTTTACATGCTTTTTTCAGCGTGCCTCACTTAGCAAGCGAAATGTACTATTTGACGAGGACTTGTTTGTTCATGTTGGGCCTAGCCGACAGCTGATAACCCGCTCTCTATCGCTTTATGAAAACACGTGTTGACGTGTATTGTCCTCATGTTTTTCAACAGTCTAGCGTCGACCTCCTACGGGTTTAGTGTAAGTATGTTGGGTGTGGGGGCGAATTCTCCCAGTGATCAGCCACCTTGTGCTTCCTATGGTCACCTCCGGAACCTAGTACAAGCGGTATAGTCTGCCTTAAGTCACCCACACTCCCCGGATTATTCTGGAGTTTTGGCTGTCATGAGACTCATTATAATGCCGCCCCGTTAATCTAACATCCTCAATGTTGACTTCCGAATAAAGCTTAGAGAAGGTGTCTGTACTAAATTGTAAACAAGTCGGACATATCCTATCGTTCAAGAAGTCTGTGTTTAGCGCACGGACTTGCTCATTATGGCCGCACGGACACCCGTAACAGATGGTGATAGTTTTGTCTTTTTATCATCCGTTACCGTCACGAAGAGACTGGACCTTACCATGGTGTGTGTGGCTGTGTACCTCAGAGACCTATTGAGCTATACTGGGGAGTGTTCGCGCGACACTCACAGAGTCTCTCATACCAGGTTGGTCCATGGGTAGAGGTCTGACGAACACAGTCTCCTGACCCTCCAGGTTGGGGGTTGGAACATGTATGGCAACGTGTTCCGTAAAAATGGTAATGTACTTGCATTTCCAGCCCAACACTGCTGCCTTGCGATTAGGCTTTTGAGCCAAAGGCATTGGTTAAGAACCCTAATCGCCCTCTTGTCTAGGTGTGGGCGCCCTGGCAGTATCCCAGCTCTCGTACAACCATGACGTACACAACTAAGTTGATCATTCCTTACTCCCTTAGAGGATACTGACCTTATGGGAGATCAACTGACGGCCCCAGAAAACTAACAATCATGTCAAGTAGGAACGAGTGGAAAAGGTAACCAAACATTACAAGGGTGCTGTCGGGAAGTCGCCAGTAAACTACCGTCCATAGAGTTCCATGTGTCCCACTTAAAATCATAGGGATTCCATTGAAACCCCCTTGGCACCATTCAGGCTCCCAACCAACATACGTACAGAATAGGCAGATCATGTGTGACTGGCTTGCTGCTGACTCGGGAACTTAATGCGGGGGCTAGGTGTAACGGATATCCAACGAACTTCGTTTGCACTGGCTTTTGGTGGGGTGTCACCAATCGGATCCATATGGTACGTTTATCAAGGAGTCCCTAGACAGAAGGACAGTTTCTGCACCAGTCCGAGGAGTTCCTACCTCGATTTACAGGAACTAGTAGTATTCCCAAGACTGGATGTCAATAATAAATGTTGATAATCCGGTGCGGAACAAGGGTTTAGATCCGACATTCCCACCTTACCCGATCAATGCTTCGGAGACATCGATGATCAGACACTGGCATCTTTCGTATGTCTTCTGCTCGTAGAGGCCACATCCCTGATCCAGGGCGAGATAAATCAGTGGTTAGGGCAATAATTCACTGACCGGAAGGTTCCTGGTTCGAACCCGACCTCTGCCTCTCGGCCTCCCCTGTCTAGGTTTGGGCAACCTGGCAGTATCCTATCCCTCTTGTTTCCTTCCGCTGGCATGGCAGTTGGTCACCGAAAGGGTGGTACAGATGAACATTCTTTCAATAAAACAGTAGATGTCGCATTGCCACAGTGGGAAAACTGTCTTTGACGGACAAACTGACGTCATATCGGCGCCATAGGCGTCGAAGGTTGGCAGAAGCTGCCCTGCTCTTACAGGATCGATGAATAATATAATCTTTAGTCGGTCCACCAAAACCACCAGACAAGCGTCTAACGCAGAGACAACTGTTTGCTGGTATCCGTGGATACAACGATCCATTGCGTCAGGACCACCGATAGCCGAAGAGTGAACTGTGGAGCATATGAGCTCGTCCTAAGCGGCTTGAGAAGCACGACCGAACTGAGGTCTTGTATGCATGTTTCACAGACACAACATACATCAATAAAGAGCGAGGGAGAGAGGAAAAGCAAGGTTTCAGCAAGGCACAGGGTACAGATATTGAAGGCTGCAACGTGGGTCAAATCTTTTTTTCTCTTTTTTTTCTGGGCGAAGGTTTAAACACGAAATAGCGGCCAGGGGACTGGTAGATGGGTTGATTGCACTGCATTGTGCGATGGATGGGGAGGGAATGTGGGAGGAGGCCGGTGAGCAAAGGGCTACGATAACAAATGATACTTCCCGATTGCCCAGGACGAAGAAGGGGGGTTAGTTGGGGTATCCCACCTTTAGCCTTAGAGTCGAAAGTCTGACCTACAGGGCGTTGGCAAGATGTAGGGTTTTGTTCGGGAACCTTGCCCTTAGCCTCCCACCTAATTGGCTATGTGGGGAGTAAGGGAGTAAGGCATTACTGTCTCACTCTTAATGCAGCTGCGTACAGCCAGTACCTTCTGAGCAGCGCTCACAGAGGACAGTATGACTTTACCTGCAGACCGTCTCGTAATACGACTCTTCACAGTGCTCGGACTAGCTGTTTTTCGTTGGGCTGCTCCGTTTTGGCCTTCCTGGCATGGTTGAACACTAGGGAATTGAGTTTTAGGTAGCATAGCCCGCAGGATCATTGCAACACAGGTGACGAGGTGACATCTTTGGGCCGCGATCCAGCCGCATTGATTTTACTTGAACCGGACAACTGTATAGTGCAAAGGTGACAATTTAATGGAATCCAAACGAATAATCCGTTTTCAACCCTGAAACTGAGTGCAACTCCTACGTCATAGATATCACGGGTTATTGCATCATTGCTCTTCATTTTATTCTTGTGTTGTTGAAACGAAGTAAAACGATGCGCTGGTCCGTGGTATCCATGACGTGGGGCCTGTACTTCGTCTCAGAGTTGATGCTCTTTATTTCTGTGGACTGCAGTAAAGTCGTCTTTGCGTTGTACAGCTGTCTGTTTCAATTGAAACCAGTTTATCTTGATGCAGTGGGGGCGCCTGTTGGTCGTATGAACATACACCAAGACAGAATGCAGTTCAAGAACTGGGAGCCATGAGTTTTGTCGATACTCTTTGCAACTGCTTCGGCCAGAAAAAATGTTGATGTTGTCACCCTGATATGAACGTCGAAGTCGGACCACTTAGCCTTGAGAAGGCATAATTGGGTTGCTCGAGTCGCTTTAAAGGTAATGGGAACTGTCCCTTTCAGTTTTGCGGCACCTGTTCCTAGGCACTGTGGACCTTCAGTATGTACGCCCCCTCCACCACTTTTTCGAGAGGCCACCACTCACAAACTGACCATATATTTCGTTGGATCACTAGGCCATAGGTTGCCAGTTTAGTGCCCCAGTTGAAGATGACCGTTTATGCTGGGTCGCGCAACTCGATTCGGTCATACCATTCCGTGGGCTTGGTCATAACTTCACTTTTCCTCAGTAGGTGTGGAGAAGTAGAGCCATCCAGTCCGTCGATTTCAACTTTTTCTTAGCTCAACAGCATCGAACTGATCTGGATAGAAGGCTTCCGGACATTCACGCTGATCTTCGGCATCACCGACTACACAACATAGTGCCCAACACGTATTGTTTGCTGCCGTGCCACCCAGAGGGAGCACGAGGGTTAGGATACTGTCAGATTGCCCAAGTATAGACAGGAGAAGTCGAGTGGCAGAGGTCGGGTTCGAACCAGGGACCTTCCAGTCAGTAAATTCGCGCTCTAGCTGCGTACAGCCAGTACCTTCTGAGCAGCGCTCACAGAGGACAGTATGACTTTACCTGCAGACCGTCTCGTAATACGACTCTTCACAGTGCTCGGACTAGCTGTTTTTCGTTGGGCTGCTCCGTTTTGGCCTTCCTGGCATGGTTGAACACTAGGGAATTGAGTTTTAGGTAGCATAGCCCGCAGGATCATTGCAACACACATGACGAGGTGACATCTTTGGGCCGCGATCCAGCCGCATTGATTTTACTTGAACCGGACAACTGTATAGTGCAAAGGTGACAATTTAATGGAATCCAAACGAATAATCCGTTTTCAACCCTGAAACTGAGTGCAACTCCTACGTCATAGATATCACGGGTTATTGCATCATTGCTCTTCATTTTATTCTTGTGTTGTTGAAACGAAGTAAAACGATGCGCTGGTCCGTGGTATCCATGACGTGGGGCCTGTACTTCGTCTCAGAGTTGATGCTCTTTATTTCTGTGGACTGCAGTAAAGTCGTCTTTGCGTTGTACAGCTGTCTGTTTCAATTGAAACCAGTTTATCTTGATGCAGTGGGGGCGCCTGTTGGTCGTATGAACATACGCCAAGACAGAATGCAGTTCAAGAACTGGGAGCCATGAGTTTTGTCGATACTCTTTGCAACTGCTTCGGCCAGAAAAAATGTTGATGTTGTCACCCTGATATGAACGTCAAAGTCGGACCACTTAGCCTTGAGAAGGCATAATTGGGTTGCTCGAGTCGCTTTAAAGGTAATGGGAACTGTCCCTTTCAGTTTTGCAGCACCTGTTCCTAGGCACTGTGGACCTTCGGTATGTACGCCCCCTCCACCACTTTTTCGAGAGGCCACCACTCACAAACCGACCATATATTTCGTTGGATCACTAGGCCATAGGTTGCCAGTTTAGTGCCCCAGTTGAAGATGACCGTTTATGCTGGGTCGCGCAACTCGATTCGGTCATACCATTCCGTGGGCTTGGTCATAACTTCACTTTTCCTCAGTAGGTGTGGAGAAGTAGAGCCATCCAGTCCGTCGATTTCAACTTTTTCTTAGCTCAACAGCATCGAACTGATCTGGATAGAAGGCTTCCGGACATTCACGCTGATCTTCGGCATCACCGACTACACAACATAGTGCCCAACACGTATTGTTTGCTGCCGTGCCACCCAGAGGGAGCACGAGGGTTAGGATACTGTCAGATTGCCCAAGTATAGACAGGAGAAGTCGAGTGGGCAGAGTCGGGTTCGAACCAGGGACCTTCCAGTCAGTAAATTCGCGCTCTAGCCGCTTGAGCCATCTCGCCCCTCTTATGAAAAAAAGATTAAGATGATGGGGAAGATATCAGCTGCCAGCCTACTACAATCATTTCACGGTGCTCACATATCCAGTAGGACAGACATTCTGGATAGAAATTGATAACAAGACCGCTTTTGACATCAACTAACGGCCATATCTTGAAGGGTTTTCAACCCCACACATTGAGGATCACGGTCTCCATGGAACGCAGGTCGCACCGACAACACCCAGACTTTTAGTGATTTCTCTCATACTCCTCTGCCAGGTCAAGGGTTGACCACCTCACTGCTTCCGTCAATCTGATTTGGGCATGGAAAACAGCACTGTTCGGCGAATTATAGTTAGACATACGCAGCACGTCCCAACCAACGCAGTTTCTGGTGCTGGACACATTCTTCAATGGAAGTCTCCGTTGAACGACTGAAAATTCGCTTTCTAACTGTCTTGTTACGGATTCGCCGACACCCACATGAGCTATGGTTGTGAGACAATGGTTATGGAAGACCTGAAGACGTTTCAGCTCCGCTGGTCGAACAGGCCAAGTCTCACAGCCGTGCAACAAAACAGCCTGCACTGTAGCTTGATACACACGTCCCTCGAAATTCAGAAATAAACCACTTTGACGCCATAGGCGTCTCGAACTAGAAAACGCGACTCGGACCTTGAAAATTTGTGCATTAGCCCCATCTGTCACACTGGAATCTGGGCTAATACAACATCCAAGTTACGTAGAACACTCCACAAATTTGAGTACCTCACCCTGAATTGTAAGGACATGTTAATTGGTTTAATTTCCAGGAGTATGACCTTACTGTTTGTGGGTGAAAGTGCATACCACACAACTTGATGATTTTGTTGAGCTCATCTAAAAATAGCTTCACCTTTCCCTCTTCGAAGACGAGAACGATTTTACCTGCATATTCCAATAGGGAGTTTTAAGTCTGCGTTTGAAGACCTTCCAGCACTCACCTTATTGTCTCATTGGTCGCAAAATTGAGTGGGAATGGAGACAGTGGCATTCTTGTCAGACGCTATTTTGTGTGCGAAAGCTTTTGAAGCAAAAAATGACGCCAAGGGTCTCGTTACAACTTGAGCCAAGCTGATATCCTGGTGGTTATCGCTTCCAACATGGGTTATTTTTTTTTGAAATTAGGTCTAATGCCGTTTCACCCCAGTTATCTTGGGCACTTTCCTAAATGGAGATAAACCAGTCAAGCTCACGCTGACTGGGGACTTCCTCCGGTTCTTCAGGGTGGATTGGAGGCGTCCGGACCAGCAGCTCCGTGACGCTCGTGGGCATGTATGCAAGCATAAACCTCCGGAGCCGCAAGAGTTTCCAGTTTCACTACCCGGATTTCCAGTGCAGTTCTAGAATCTAATTGAATGGCAACAGATGGCCACAAGAATTGTTGTTCGAAATCCTTGGTCCAGCAGTCGAAGTGTTTTCTTTCATCAAAAGTGATTGTGCCAGTTTGATCCTTCGCTCTTTCACTCACAGGAGCCTACCGGAGACCAGTCTTATGAGTCGACTAGAATTACCTTCTGACATTCCGGGAATTCTATGCTTCTTTCGGGTATGCGGCTTCCCTCTACTACTCGGGAGTGGTGGTATTTCAGTAGAGACCACTTTGGGCTGATCCGTTGATGTATATTGTAACGGGCATCGCCGTATGGAATAAGTCACAGGCTTTCTTATCCCATTAATTTCAGCGTGATGCGAACTTGTTTTTCCTTCTTACCTCGGGCACCTCCAGTTTACCGGCAGTCTCGGAGATATTCATACCATTGTCTATTTGTCTTTCACACAAAAACCAGCTCTGTCCTGAATATTCGAGTCCAATAAATCTGTTACTGCTGCCGTACTGAAACGTGAGAAGTCTTTCACACAAAACCAGCTCTGTCCTGAATATTCGAGTCCAATAAATCTGTTACTGCTGCCGTACTGAAACGTGAGAAGGCACCAGGATTCGACGGTCTGTATCCAGCCCTCTTCAAAGAAGGCGGAAAATCCCACCTGACAAAGCTTATTGGTGCTATATGGGACGAAGAGAAAGTGTCTGCAGAATGGGGCTTGTCGACAGTTATCCCCATCTTCAAAAAAGGTACGCGGACGCTATGTGAAAACCACCGTGACATCAGCCTGTTAGCTGTGGCATCGAAGGTGCTCTCTGGCCTTATCCTTCGAAGGTTGACTGAACACAGAGAGAGACAGATCCGTGAAAACCAAGCTGGGTTCCGTCCTGCAAGAGGTTGCATCGACCATATCTTCACCC